ACGCGACGGCCGATGTGGCGTGAGTTTATTTGTTTGTGTGCAGTTCATAGTGGTTTGTAATTCATGGATGTCCGCATTTCTTATCTCGGTTGCTTGCGCTTGGCCAAACCTTCAGCTACTGTGTTTTGGAATAGAAAATATGTGACCATTTTGTTGGCTCGCTTACCTGTCTTTGCGATTGGAGTACTGACGTTCCGTCACTGATCGAGGGAACATTAATGGGCGGTTGCTTTGGTACTTCCTCATATCCTGTGTTTGTATTTCCCCACTTTCTAAAGCGTGTGCTCTAGCTCCACTGTGATTTGTTAGTTGCGGAGGGACTGTCGCTTAACTTGATTAATTTGGTCGGAATCCGCCTCATGCTTGAAGGGCTCTGTTTCAGCAGTTGTGTTCCTCTGTTCCTATGTGTTCTGCTTCATAGTAAGAATTAATGCCACCATCGTGATGTGGTGGTCGGGATTGAGCGCTACAATGTTTTCGCAGACTAAATTGTCTTGAACTTCATTCTACAAGCTGCAGCAACACCAGAAAAACCAAAAGAGGACAGTCAGGTCAAGAGCAGTGAGACCTTTCCTGCAAGAATTCCTATTACGTGGCGGTCTTGGGGTACTGTCGTACTGTGCTCAGCGATAGAAACGTCCATGTAGTAAGGTGTTTCACCCAGGTGACCAGTATGTCTATTGATGGGAGCAGCGATCCCGCCTTCCCCTCAGGAAGGACGGGTCAGTGAGGCTCCGTCCCAAATCTGCATACTGTGATCTCCCAATGGTTGATCTTGATGACCGGTGAACTATTCATTACGGTCGAAATACTGGTGCTGCTCAAAAGGCGCCTGCTGTGCACAGCCGCATCAGGAGTGAACCAGTAGTTCCTTACTCCTTGCACCCTCGGTTTAGCCCAGCCCACTGCATCCGAGCAGATCAGAGTATTGAGTTATGGGCTTCGAACAGGGTCCCTGAAAAAACCTACACCCTCCCAATGTTTTGTGAGTCGGGCTTTTGAGTCAAAGGCTCGAGGTAGGGTACCTTAACCAACCCCGCGTCCTCGGCTTGGGCAAGCGAGAAGTATCATCCGCCCACACAGTTATGCGTCAACGGATGTTCCTCCCTGGGTCGTTTGTTTGTCAGTTCATCTCTCCAAAGTGTCTTATACACCTCGCTGCCCATTAACAGTAAATAAAATAATTTGCTATTTCCTCGAAATCCTGTCAACTTACATACTCTGTCAGATGGGACATGCTTCTCGAAACCTTGACTTAAAAGTCGAATTTGATTTTGAAGGCTTTCAGGCACTTCGGCAAATCTATGGAGCACAGATGTCCTCGATAAGTCCCTGATCCTCCTTAAGGTGGTGCGGAGGAACTCTCATGGATGTGTGACGTTCTACTGGAAGCTCTCTATTGAGTCCAACTCATCAAGTGGTGTCCGATAGGGCTATACGCTTTCGCATTTCCTCATTATCTTCGTCAGTGATGTGATTGTGGGGTACTCACTCCCAGTCTTTAATGTCTGCGGGGTCCCACGGTGTTTACTCACGGATATCGGGTACGCAGATGACTGGCTCCATTGTAATGCAGACGACTTTAAATTATCTAGTTTTGCCTCACAGTTTGACATGCGCTTCATACCCACAAAGTATAGAGTTTTGCTGCAAAACTGGGTGAGGTCGAACCCTAACCTGATGCTTTCTGATGGGTCGTTTGAGTAAACAGATTCGTCTACCTGGGCAGCTCTATCAGTTCTATTGGCCCAAAAACTGGGTAGGTCGAACCCTAACCTGATGCTTTCTGATGGGTCGTTTGAGTAGACAGATTCGTCTACCTGGGCAGCTGTATCAGTTCTATTGGTCCAGCGAAAGATACAATTCTCCTCCGGATTGGGAATGCCAGAGTAGCTGTCGTGAGCCTGCGTGACATCAGCTTACCCTTCAAGTGTTGATTGACAGTACTGAGGTGCATTCTACATCATTAGGTGGGTCATTGCTCTTTGCGGTGTTTTGATGACACCAAAACACTATCGGTGTCCATCGATGTCCTCGAGCATTGCCCTAGTCTTATGGAAACACTAGATCAGTATTGCTGATTTTATCGAATGATTCTCGGAAGAAATAACACGGCAGATGAATTAGTCACACTCTACTTGGTTGCGGTTGCTTGCCACGTGCTCCATATGCCAGTTGACCGACTTCCTTGGAAGGCCATTTCCGCACAGCCACATGAAAGGTGTGGGCGAGTCATGGTAGGGAAACTACGATTTGACATCAAAGTATGTGAACCACTTCCGCGTGATCCTGTGCCTGATGCCACGTGCTATGCCAGTTGACCGACTTCCTTGGAAGGCCATTTCCGCACAGCCACATGAAAGGTGTGGGCGAGTCATGGTAGGGAAACAAACTTTTGACATCAAAGTATGTGAACCACTTCCGCGTGATCCTGTGCCTGACTGTGCCTGGTTGGAGACACTACAAGATATGGCTGCCAACCGATGTCAGTGGCGTTCTTGTTGCCAGTTTCTGTCCAGATTGCCTGAGTGAATGTCTGGAGGTGTAGGCACCTCGGAATGATTGTGTTAAGCTAGCACTAAGTCCCTCCCCCATCCA